CTATGAAAAAAAACTTGAAATTTAGCTCAAAGGGGGGGAAAATTTTTGTTTTTTCCCCCAATGTTCAAAATAAACAAATGATGTCATTTTCCAAAAAATGTCCAAGTAGCCTTTTTTAATATCGTCATGAATGGGTTGCATTATTTAAGCAATTATTGCAAATTCAGTATCTGTATAACGTAAATCCTCTATTTTTTGTTTGAATAAAAAAATTTAAAAAAGAAAACAAGAGTAATATCAGAGGGGTTGGAGATGTGATGATGAAGAAGAAAATGTTTTTTTACGCCAGGATGTTGCAGTGTTCTTCTGGCCCTATTTTGAAATTGCTATTTTTTTATTTTTTTGAAATTGGCCCCCAAATTTCAAATTTTTTTTTTTCCCCCCGGGAAATTTTGGGGGTTGAATTTGGAAATGGGCAGTTTCTTGTACCAATCTAGAAAAAAAATTGGTTTAAAGAAATAGCTATGATTTGGTCCCCGAACAACGGGGAATAGCCGAAAATAGGCCAAAGTGGGCGAATTGCCAATTCGAAAAATGCCCCAGGTCACCACTTCGCGAAGCTAATTCCCTAAAATTTTCCCTGAAATTTCGTACTTTTGGGTATTACCATGGGAAAGATTTTCTTCATTTCAAAAGAAAAAATAATTTTAATTTTTTTTTTTTTTTTTTTTGCGACACCGTGAACCCAGGATTTGGGGGTTGAACAGCAAAGGGGGGAAACCCATTTCCACTTATACACTTCGATCATGTCTCCCCTTTTTCTTTGTCTTCAAAATGAATGTGTTTAAGAGTCTTCAATTTCTTCATACGGAAGATTTTTTATGTATGTATTAATTTGGTCATTTTACGCTGGATATTTTTTATTGAATTTATATCATTCTGTATTTTGGAGACCAAACGAGCTGCGTAAAACTGGTGAGGCCTTACTAATGTGTAGAGTTGTAAAAAAACCGCGGACTTTGTTGCTTAAATTTATATAAATCCATAATCTGTTTTTCTTTGTTACGTACCTTAAACACTGCTGTCTTGGTTTAAGGTTTCTGCTTTCCCTAACCCCCAAAAACCTTTTCGCAATTGTATGGTAAGTTGTATTATTTAACTGATAAGATAGGGTTTTGGGCACCCCGACTTTAGAACTTTGATTTATTTTCATTTTTAAATGCATTTTCCACTTTTTCTGACCCGGGAAATTTAGTTCTTATGTTCCCGCCCCAAAATATTAACCCTTTCGGGTTGGCGGCCCTCTCCCAAACTTGTTTTCGGTCGGAAATTTTCGAAAAAAAAAAAAATTCTTGTGAAATATGAGAATCTTTTCCTGATCAAAAGACACCAAAAGTAAAAAATTTGATGGAAAAATTACGAATTATATTCTCGCAAAATTAGGGTCTCAATGATGTTTACGCATTGGTATTTCGCCCACTTTGAGCCTATTACGGCCAAATTTCCCAAGTACACGACAAAATCGTACCTATTTCACTAGAACTCCCTTTTGTCTATTGAAAGAGTGCAAGAAACCACCCATTTTCCGATTTAACTAACAATAACGGGTTTTAGAATTTGGCAAATTTTTCCAATTTCACACAAAATTTTAAAAAAATGCCAATTTTTTAAATAGGGCCCAGAAAAAACAACCAAAAACTCCCGGCACTAAAGTAAATTTTTCCCCTTTTATTATCACGTCCAAGGCCCCTTTTTACATTTTTTTTGCTTTTCCCCTTTGTATTTTTATTTTCACAAAAAATAGAAGATTTATGTTTCAGACATGCATTCATGTGAATGGTATAAAAAAATATCGCGCATTTTGGAAAGAATATTAGACTCGCCGTTGAGGTATTGGCCGTGGCATGATTTGTTTACCTTTTAACTTTGGGAAAAAACTACTTTTTTGTACTTTGGCTCAATTTCAAGGTACTTTTTATTGCGAAACCATCAAAACACTCAAATTTCTTTAATATGTCTTCCATTTATAAAAAAGAGACCAGGAAAAAATAGAATACAAAACCCTAAATGCATATGAAAATACCTGTAAAGTTGCTGTTTAAAAAAAACCCGGCTAGTTTTTTTTTTTCTCTTATGACTGTGTGCTGCAGGGTTTTTTTTATACTACGCACACTGACCACATACCCATTCTTTCATATGTATGCCACCGCTTTCTCTCGCTAGATTTAAGGCGTTAAATTTTTTGCGTCTAGTATGGCACCCAAACCCCGAAAGGGTTAACAAAATAATTTTTTTTTTAAAATTAATATAGATTTACATAAGAAAGAATGAGAAATCAAGTAAAAACAAAATACACACTAACCTTTATTAAAAACCTGTTGGTTATGGAAAAATAAAAAAGCAGGAACACTGAGCGACTGTTGGGCCCTATGGCAGATCCCTTTACAAAACCCTCCCCCTAACAGAATATTTTTCCAACCAATTTTCAGTGTTGCCCAAGCAAAAAGCTTTATAATTCTATTCACCAGCGCAAAACCCACTCAATCAAATTGTGTGTGTGAAGAAATACCCCGGTTGGTGTGTTCTTTCTTTAAATTTTTTCGTGTTCCTCCCCTTTACCAAAGGGCTGGCAGTGGCTTTCTTTGGGCCCCTGGGTTTCTTATTTAGCAGTTCAGCGCAAAAAAGAATGGTTTTTACGAAATGTATGTATGAAAGCTTGGGAAAATGGCACTCATCCATAGAAAAAGCCACCTGATCCTAATGTTGTGTGGGGCCTTGTGTAGCCCGGGGCCCGTGGACGCGTTTTGCATGACGGGCGAATCCGAGGCAAATCACGAACTGCGAGGCTTTGTTTACAAAAAAAAATTGCTGAAAGTCGAAATCTTTAAGCACGAGGTTACAAAACTCGGGGGTCCCCTGTACAAAAGAAATGTTTAAAGTATTTTTTGAATATTTACGAATTTTTTCTTGCAACATAAAAGGGGGAAAAACTTCAGATTTGCTGAACAAAACTAAGAAGTGTGTCATTTTTGTGTATATCCCATACTATATTGTGGTTTGTATTTGAAGTTTGACAAAAAAAGTAGAAAAAACTGAATTTTTATGAATGGTACATAAGTTGAAAATTTTTATGACAAGGTACACAAATGTGAAAATTTTGTGTACATGGATGTATGGCGTAGAGTTGTATTGACAACTAAACCCAGCAACAAGTGTTTCCCTTTCCTCGGTGCCTCTCTTATTAAGCTTTGGGAGTGTATGTGCTTATAATGAGTTTTGGGGTGGAAAAGTTTTCTAAATTAATTTTTTAAATTTTGAATATTAAAAGTTTTGTTTAGGTAATATTTTTGTAATAAACTCTTATAAGCTCCCCTGTTAGGGGATTGAAAGAGTTCATCCAAAGTTCAAATGCTTGGAAATAATTTTATAGTATTTGCTATTAAAATTTTTGGGTGACTTTTTAAAATTTCATTTATAAAAAATTTGCAATATAAAAAGAGTTTATAAAAAAGTTTATTTTACCAAAATTTAGGTGAATTTGTGTCATGATAAATTTTTAGGTATGTTTAAATCCAAGAAAACAGTACCCCTTTTTTTTGTATACCACTCAGCGGCTTTTAAGTTTTAAACCCCGGTGGAACTTACAATTTTCCCCCCTTTCGTTTCCCTTTAAAGGGGGGGATATTTTGATGTGGGAAGGGGTCTTGATCCCCCCTTTCCCTATACCTATATGACTTACAAGTTTTTTTGTTTCCACATAACAAAAATGATATCCTCTCTTTACTTTCCCCACTGTGGTTCTTAAATTCCACAAGACAATAATAGCATCAAGAAATGGTTTTTAAATGATGTTTAAATGTTTTTAGGTAAGTTATACGCAACAAGAAAAATGACCTGAAGGTTTTGGGTGCCAGTCAATAATTTAATTTGTGATTGAAATTTAGCGATAATAAAAATTACTCTTGAGAGATAATTAAGAATTTGTAATGTTTCATAATTACTTTTGTTTTGTTTTGGGGTTTGTGGTAAATCGTGTTGAAATGGAATATTGGGGATATATTTATTTGTGTCAAACATGGCTTTAAAGGGGCCCGGTGAGGTGGTTGAGGCTGAGGTGCGTTTTTCCCCGGCTTTTGGGTGTACGATTTTGGACGTGGACGCTGGTGTGTCCAGTAGTGGAAACCTTTGGGGGCCGCAACCGTGACAGATCCTGGAGAGGAATCGCAACACACACTGACACAAAACCCTACCCCCGCCCACACTGTCCCCTTCCCCTCCAGTCAGGGGCACCTCAAGATTCCATTACAGAAAGCAAAAGATCTGGTTTTGGGAACAAGGGTTGAAGGTTGGGCTCAAGAGGGTAGGCCCGGATGAGGAAAAAAGCCCAAGGCAATTAGGGTTGTATGTTTGATCGTGGAGCTTTGGGTTTCATGAGGTGGCAAATGCAGCAAGGGGGGATGTGCATCACAGGGAAAATTTCAACAGAGGGGAAAGGTTCAGCCAGGGAAGCACTACGCTACAGCCCCTCTTTACCACTCCGACCACCCATAAAAGTCGTAAAAAAAAACTAAGTTTTTTTTCTGACAACTTCTATAATTCTTACAGCATTCACAAAGACTCATACTAAGATTTTTAAATAAAATATGGTGCTGGGGGCAATTTTTTATCAGTGTAAGAAGAAAAAGGGGTGCCAGGAGGCCTGGTCGTTGTTAAAATCGTCGTTCCAGCGAGCTGCCTAATACTAAAGTTATAGCAAAGCACTAGCATTGAACCTTTAAAAACGAAATTTTGTCATTGTATTGTTTTAAATACCCAAAACAAATTACAAACATTTAAATGATCACTTTTAAAGCTGAATTTTCATTGGAAATTTTTATGAACCGCCTTAAACATCAATTTGCTGGAAGAATGTAGCAAACTGATTGAGAATTATCCAGGAAATACAAAGTTCAAATGAAAAATTACATGCAAGAAAGCACTTGCAACTCATTGACAAATTTGCTTGAGACCAACAAATGGAGAAGCAACCAGAAAGAAGTCCCCTTCACTTTGAAATTCACTAAAACAGGACAGTTAAGTAGATATGTATTTGGGTTGAACACGTCTAACCTTAACCACAGCTTAATCAAAGTCTAGACCTCCATACATATGATTTTTTTTAAATATGTGAAATATTAAAAAAATGTAGAAAACAGTGCTAAAATGTTAATTTATTTCAACCAAATATAAATTGCTGTCAGGAAAAATTCAGCCATTTTCAACAGTAGACATGTAATACAGTGATAAATGGAAACAAATATAAGTGAACCTTATTAAATATGGGTGAGATTTAATATAAGCACATTACAGGACTAAATTAGTGCTTTGAGTGGATAGTTGGTGGGCCACTTCAGTCATACTCAAGACACATATGACACTATTAAGAAAAAAAAGAAAGATGTTACTCAGAAAAAGAATAATGCTTTATTTGCAGATGGAGAAAACAAAGGCTGGCAGAATTGCTGATCTGGAGAATATGCAGACTTTCATTGCCCTCATGTATTCAAATGTGTAATTATTGTGAATGCATCAGATCCCTCAAACTGTAGTCTCTGGAGTGCAGACAGATAAATTTTTCATAATACTTACTTATGGGACTGGTTCTTAGTCTGCACAGTGAAATAACCCCTTAAAAGAGCGGGGTTGCAATAAGTATATACTCTACTAAAGATATATTCCACTAAGCATAGAGGGTCCATAAATTTTAAACACCCTCCCTCTAAATATATGGGAATAACCAAGAAACATCTAATTGTCTTCAAGAGGGTATTTTTGATAAGTTAGTGCAATTTATTCTTGACCAGCCAGGCTTGGATGCCTATGTTGCAATGTGTGTCACAAATATCTACAACTTGATTAACCAAGAGTCAGCCTTAGGCTTAGTTACAGACCAGCCATGGGGGTGATGAGCCCCAGAAGCATCACCAGGTACATGTATATACCAGGTAGACACCCTTGCCAAATTAACATTATGTGCATGATGTACAGAATACTAGTAAACCAATGGCTTACTGCCTCAGAGAATGTACATTTTTGGTGATTTTAAGTGAAGGCTTGGTGTAACTAAGTGATAAGGATTGTCTTGGGTGTGTTGCAGGGTACGAGGGCTGCTACAACGCTGGGAGGAGATGGCGTCAACAAGGTGTCCTCTGTGGTGTGCCCATTGTGCAAGCGGGCCTTTATGGGAAAGAACCGCAGACAGCACCTGGAGAACCACATCCTCACCCACACTGGGGAGAAACCATTCCCCTGCCCACATTGTCACTACCGTTCAAGTCGCAAGGATACCCTACACTCCCACTTAAGGAAGTGGCATCCACTTCAAGATTAACACTTGGATCTGTCATGCCTTCAGGTGTTGATGTTTGTGGGATTTTTTTTTTACATCATATTGGAAATGTTCCTGCTAAGCTATGTTTGGGGCTAACCAAAACTAAATTATCATAGCAAAACACAAACAAGAAAGACACCACTACTGTTGAGTTTCATGAAGTTTATAGTATAGCTGAAAAAGGAACACTAAGCTATAGAACCAATATTGTGGTGATGTAGCTACTGGATTGATACTCATCTTGGAATTATAGCTTTATGGCTATAGATAACATTGTGATATGGCAGAATGCAGTTGTCTTTGCAGCTATTTGTAATGCTTTTCTTTTAATTAATATATTGATCACTTGTAATTCCTCAGACTTGTTGGTTTGAAACTATGAGGAGTTTATACTTGGAGTTATGTTGTAGACAAGAAGTTGGTTCAGTGTTGGATAAACATTATTGTTGTTCTGTATGACCAGTGTTGCAACTTAACCACTGACCGATACTTTTATATTTTAGACATCTTTCTGGATCCTAATTTTAACTTTGTTTTTATATCATCGCTTAATAAATGATACATTAAAATTGGTTTTAATAATCCCATTTTAGGGGGTGAAAAAGGAAACATTTACTTTTCAACTGATTTTTTTGACTCGGTATTAAATTAAGCTATCAGTCTAAAGTGGGAATGAATAGTCTTTACTGAACTGAAAAATAAAATGTTTTGCACAAACTGCTTTCACAGTTTTCTTAACCACAATTTGATCCTTATACTATAATTGTTAGTGTTACACACAATATACAGAAAGGTCCTTCTAAATAAGAATTCTCATTGAGAAATTCACCATAACATTGACAAGAGATGGGACATTACCAAAATTTTTGTTGATATCACTCTTCAACACAATTATTCTCAAAGATTTAAGTTATACCATGAATTAAGGAAAGATCTTAGACTTCACCTTACGAAACAAAGCAAATGTGGTAGTAATTATGAACAAGATTGATTATAGTGGAAAAATGAACATGTTATTAGAAGATGGGGGAGTCTACTTGCCCCTTAAGGTGTCAGTATTGCATATGAGGACTAAATTTGAAGTAATGTTTTTTCAATACATTCAATAGACAGATTATTCTGGTTTCTTGTATTTGTTATTCTAAGAGATGTTTACAATATATGAGTGTGACTCTCCTTCGGGGACAGTTATTAGCCCTTTCACTGTCGAGACCCCTGCTCACAAACTTGCTCTCAGTGTTGAAAAAAAAAAAAAATCTTACCAAAATCTTAAGAATAATTTTCCGAATGTTAAAGAAAAAAAATATGTGATCAGTAGTTATCGAGATATAGAGGCGTGAAGTTGACAGAAAGTGAACCGCTTACAGCAACATCAGCGACTGCCGCTCACTCGGTAATATTATTTTTACTTTTATTCTATTTTTTTTTGTTTTCTAATATTTTATTTTTTCAAGTAACTTTTGTGGCCTTTGAGACCAATATAATGGATAATGTACAGTGGACCCCCGCATAGCGACCTTAATCCGTGCAAGAGGGCTGGTTGTTATGCGAAATGTTCGGTATGCGAATGAATTTTCCCCATAAGAAATAATGGAAATCAAATTAATCCGTGCAAGACACCCAAAAGTATGAAAAAAAAAAAAATTACCACATGAAATGTTAATTTTAATACACACAAACTGAAAAAGGCAGGCACAATTACATGACACTTACTTTTATTGAAGATCTGGTGATGATTGATGGGATGGGAGGAGGGGAGAGAGAGTGTTAGTATTAGAAGGGGAATCCCCCTTTCCCTTAAGACTTGAGGTGTCGAGTCCTTTTCTGGTGTTACTTCCCTTCTTCTTTTAATGCCACTAGGACCAGCTTCAGAGTCACTGGACTTCTTTCGCACAACATATCTGTCCATAGTGGCCTGTACCTCTTGTTCCTTTATGACTTCCCTAAAGTGTTTCACAACATTGTCAGTGTACAGGTTGCCAACACGGCTTGCAATAGCTGTGTGAGGGTGATTTTCATCCATGAAGGTTTGCACTTCAAGCCACTTTGCACAGATTTCCTTAGTCTTTGTAGTAGGCAACTTCTTCAATTTCTCTCTCCCCTCCTCTGAACCAGTTTCCTCAGGTCTGGCCTCTTGCTCTTGAAGTTGATCTATCAGCTCATCAGTGGTTAGTTCTTCATTGTCCTCCTCCACCAACTCTTCCACATCATCCCCACTAACCTCCAACCCCAAGGACTTTCCCAATGCCATAATGGATTCCTCAACTGGCATAGGATTCTCAGGGTTAGCCTCAAACCCTTCAAAATCCCTTTGGTCTACACATTCTGGCCACAGTTTCTTCCAAGCAGAGTTCAAGGTCTTCTTAGTCACTCCCTCCCAAGCCTTACCTATAAGGTTTACACAATTGAGGATATTAAAGTGATCTCTCCAAAAGTCTCTTAGAGTCAGTTGAGTTTCTGAGGTCACTACAAAGCACCTTTCAAACAGAGCTTTTGTGTACAGTTTTTTGAAGTTTGCAATAACCTGCTGGTCCATGGGCTGCAGGAGAGGAGTGGTATTAGGAGGCAAAAACTTCACCTTAATGAATTTCATGTCCCCATAAAGTCGCTCTGCCACGTCTGTAGGATGACCAGGGGCATTGTCTAACACCAGGAGGCACTTAAGTTCTAATTTCTTTTCAGTTAGGTAATCTTTCACATTGGGGGCAAATGCATGGTGTAACCAGTCATAGAAAAAGTCCCTAGTGACCCATGCCTTACTGTTTGCCCTCCACAGCACACACAAATTCTCCTTGAGGACATTCTTTTGCCTGAACGGTCTGGGGGTTTCAGAGTGATACACTAATAAAGGCTTCACTTTGCAATCACCAGTAGCATTGGAACACATCAACAAAGTAAGCCTGTCTTTCATAGGCTTATGTCTGGGAGTGCCTTTTCCTCCTGAGTAATGTAGGTCCTGCTTGGCATTTTCTTCCAGAACAGGCCTGTTTCATCACAATTAAACACTTGTTCAGGTTTCAGTCCTTCAGTTTCTATGTACTCCTTGAATTCCTGCACATATTTTTCAGCTGCTTTGTGGTCCGAACTGGCAGCCTCACCATGCCTTATCACACTATGTATGCCACTACGCTTCTTAAATCTCTCAAACCAACCTTTGCTGGCCTTAAATTCACTCACATCATCACTAGTTGCAGGCATTTTTTAATTAAATCCTCATGCAACTTCCTAGCCTTTTCGCTTATGATCGCTTGAGAGACGCTATCTCCTGCTAGCTGTTTTTCATTTATCCACACCAATAAGAGTCTCTCAACATCTTCCATCACTTGCGATCTCTGTTTCGAAAACACAGTTAAACCTTTGGCAAGAACAGCTTCCTTGATTGCCTTTCTGTTGCCCACAATAGTAGAGATGGTTAATTTGGGTTTCTTGTACAACCTGACCAGGTCGGCGACACGCACTCCACTTTCATACTTATCAATGATCTCTTTCTTCATCTCTATTGGAATTCTCATCCTTATTGCTGTAGGGTTGGCACTAGAAGCTTTCTTGGGGCCCATGGTCACTTATTTTCCAGAGAAAGCACCGAAAACACTGTAATAATACGAAATATTCCGATTGTATGCTTGGATGTTACCGCGGAGGCTGGCTGGTAAACAATGCCACCGGCGGAACATATGAGGCTGGCTCAGGCCGCACATTGGACGCGTCTCGGACGAAGGGCGGTGAGCGGGTTTTTGGGCGGTATGCGAGGCAAAATTTTAGCGATTAAAGCGTCCGGTATGCGGATTGTACGGTATGCGATGCGTACGGTATGCGGGGGTCCACTGTATATATATATATCTACTCATATGCAACACAGTAACTGCACAAATAGTGTTATCATCATACTGTTTACAAAACATGTTTACACAAACCCACGCTGTCTTCCTCACCACCCACACCATCTTCCCCACCACCCACGCTGCCTTCCCCACCATCCACACTGTCTTTTCCACCACCCATGCTGGAAATAAGTCACTTTGACTTTTTTGGGTTATCCTAGGTTCTCTACACATGCTGCTGTGTATGATAATCTATGTAACTGTATGCGTGTATGCCTGAATAAACTTACATGCCGTCTTCCCAACCACCCATGCTGTCATCCCCACCCATACCATCTTCCCCACCACCCAAGCTGTTTCCCTCCACCCACACTGTCTTCCTTCCACCCACACTGTCTTCCCTTTTCACTATCTGTATCTGGTATCCTGGGCATTGCTTTCAGCTACAAACTCCTCAAAACCATGAAATTCATCTTCACTGACCCTTCCATCTGTGTTAGAACTATCATTTGGGAAGAGAAGAGTCCCAAATTTGCTGGGGAGTGAGGTATTCCTTACTGCTTGGCATACAGAGCAGGGTGTACTGAATTGGCACTCCCACAATGCACTGTGGCCTCCCAGATTTTTTTTCATACTGTGCACACTGAGCACACAGACCCATTCTCCCACATGTAGGCTTACCAGCTTTCTCCCACCAGATCTGAAGCTGCTAGAATTTTGGCATATTATTATGGGACCGACAATGAAAGGGTTAATGCCAAGGGCAGGACACATTAACAAGACAGGTGTCTTCTGATTTTTCTGTTAATGAGATCCATTATTATTTGAAGACCAACTTGATGCTGAAGGGCTCTTATTCCAAGGAATTGGAGCTACCTTTCCCCATCCTTGCATCACATCTATTGACCTGTCATTCTCCAGGTGCTGTATCACCTCCAACATTTTTACCACTTCCCCATAAATATAATACTGTACTAATAATTATACAGTAGTTCCTTGTGTTACAATATTAATTAATCCTCTCAGGATCCTGACCCTCGATCTGAAACTTGTCCACAGGGTCCAATAACTTTTGTAATTTTTTCTTATGAAATGGTAGAGAAATTTTTACTGAAGGTAATAAAACAAAAAGTACGAAATTTGATAGAAAATTGATGAAATTGTGCTATCACGAATTTTGCTGTGTCAGCAGTATTTATGCACTGGCGATTTTGCCTACTTTGAGTCCTATTTTAGGCCAGTTACATTGTTCCAGTCGACCAAATTCTTAGCTATTTCACTACTACGCCTTCCATTTTATTGGCTGAGCACAAGAAACTGCCCAGTCAACTATTTCAACTACCCAATAAAGTGATCAGAAATTGGTAATTTGGCCAATTTCACATAAATTTCACAATATTCCAATTTCAAAATAGGGTCCAGATTAAGCAATGGAGGCATTCCTGGTACTAAAAAACATTTCCTCTGTTCATTAGTTATGTTCCCAGGCTTTACACATGAATTCCATTTTTAACCCTTGAGAGTCCAAGCTGTAGATCTGTGCATTGTCCACAGAGTCCAAGAATTTAAAAAAAAAAAAAAAAATTTTTATGAAATGGTAGAGAATCTTTTTTAGAAGGTAATAAAACAAAAACTACAAAATGTGGTGGAAATTACACTCACGAATTTTACTGTGCCAATGATATTTACTCATCAGTGATTTTGCCCAATTTGACTCCTATTTTAGGCCACTTACATTATTCCAGTCG